GGGGATGCTGGGCTGAGTGAGTGTGACAGTCTGCGAGCCGTATCCTCCAACTCCTGATTGCGCAGCTAGTGTTCTGTGATAATTCTGCCATTTTCTATTCCAATATTTTAAACAGTATTCTCCACATCTTTTATCTGTGGCTTCCCTGGCTCTGTTCTAGCCCAAATACTATTCTAGTTACCTTACTTGTTATGGAAAGGTTTTTCGTCCTTCGTTTGGTGTCTTCTGCCCCTTTAACGCTGCCATGGTAAACCAAGGTGTCTGTGGTGGCCATTTCAAGCCGCGGAGAACCTTCCCAAACCAAATGTGGGGAAACTGCGTGGATGGTGTATCTTCACACCTCCCGCTAAAATCACGTTGTAGACCGGCCCTCAGCTGATCCGATATCCAACAGCCTGGGCCAAAGCCCTGACCACGCTGTCTTTGACAGCTGTGAAACGAGTAGACCGGTTCTTAGTTGAGATAGTTTTCAGGATTGGTGATTTTTTTCTCTAATTTTCTAATTAAACTGGTTTAAATTTAGATCTTTTTAGGAGCAGAAATTAACACATCATCCAGCAAGCTGACTGAGTCAATTTCTGGGACAACCCTAGCAACAGGAGGAGTGTCTTCAAAGACTTGACAGACTCAGTCCAGTCAGCAAGAGGTGACTGATTACCCAATCCTGAAGGCTATCTCCACCACAATGGAGAAGAAAATATATGTACATTTTTATGTTAAAACATGCCCCTCCTTTGACTTACCTTCTTTGGCTTAAATGACATAAGTGAATGGAGGGACAAATCACTCATCATCAAACTGTGTCTCCTTTGGTTGGCATTCTGAATAAACTCAAGTGAAGTTATGAGGACAATTGGAAATTATTCCAGCACTTAAAAATCACATTACTGATCAGTCAGAATATTGAGACTTCTATAAGTAAAGTGTCAACAGAACATGGGCAGGATACTGAATGAATAATTTGGTTTTGGAGATTGTTTTTCATGTTGGAAACATAAGCTGAGAATATTAATATACATTCTGTTTATAATGAGAATTCCGTATGAATGGTTAGTTAAAAGTAGAATGGATATGTCAGGAAAAAAGGATTGCAGGGCTACAACATCTGTACTGAAAAATCTTGATGATCACTAGATGTAAGAAAAATTACAAAGAAAACTTTCATTTTCAACCATCTAGTGGTTATCCATATTTCTGCAATCATTGTACAGTTTTCAGCGTACTTTCTTTTTACAAATAAATGGAAAATAGATGTTAGGGCAATATATTGTAATACAGGATAATAAGAACTAATAATTTTAGATATAATGCAAGTATCGTCTGTTTGTGACCCAGAGACTGAAGATACACTTTCAAGTTCATAATCATCTCCTTTTTCCTTCAGCCTTCTTTCTTCGCTTTCTTTAATGAGCTTCAGATTTTTTTCTTAAATGTATCAAAAAAAAATTTCTCTCTCTCTCCACCCCACCCCTCTCTCACACAAATAGGAAAATATGTAAAACAAAGCACAATTGTCTAGTCTGATTGTGCTTATAACTTTAATTTAGCCATCTAGAATATATTGGGCTGTGTATCGCCTTTAGATACTGAGTTCAAAATTCAGTTTCCTATGGACCTTTGAGATTTTCTTTACAGATAATCCTGTCAAAGAATAGTTGATTGTTGGACTGGAGGGGATGGGGGAGAAGTTCTTTCTAATTAAGTAGGGGGGGAGCCTTGTTTCAAGAGAGCTGGTGATACAGTCAGAATAATGGTAGTCTTTAGAGAAGACACTGCCATTATGGGAGACATGGAAGGAAAGAAGAGAAGAGAAGAGGACAATCTGCAGCTATGTAGATAGACTTAATTATTATAGCAATGGGTATATTATAAGTCTTGAACGATCAGGCTGGGTCCATTTTATGTGATAAGTAGTCTGTCAATGTCACTGCAATGATGAATGGTTCCATGGTCATCCATGGTCATTATTATTCTGGTCTTCCTGTCTATGTCTTTTAGTTCATCTATGTATCTAATGCTGTGGGGCAATTTTCTTTCTGCTCAGGTGGAAAGAGCTTTATTCCAAGTAGATAGTGTTGGACTGCATCATCTACAATACCAGTTAGCAATTTGAAAGTTGTTGGTAAGCAGGTTAATTATTTATTTAGCATATGGTATTTGTACATTGAGTAGCAGGGAATCTACAATGTTATTCAGAGTAGTTTGGCTGCCTAAGATTGTTAGTTCTCACTATCCACGGTGCACATCAACTAACTCCACAAGCAGAATGGCTAATTATATTCTGTGGAATGTTGGTGTATTTGCCTCACATTCAAGCACGTCTGGCACCAGTTGGTTTCTTGCTGCCACACGAAGTGTTGTTAACTTCCCACTTGAGTGCTACTTTCATTTTGCATGTTTTTGAATGGCTAAATTCACAGAAGCTGAGGTGAGTGATGGCACCCCACTCCATCACTCAGTGCTAGGGCCCAAACTGCTAGAGTACAGAGAGCCAACCATTTGTGGTTGGAAAATCTAGTTGTCTTTAAGCTGCTGAGCCACCATAAGCAGCCTGTAGTTGCCTGGTGCTGTCCCTTTTGTTGACTATTTCATTATCAGATTGGTCTTGTCATATGTTAGCCACTTTTCAATTTCATCTCTTTGCAGTATGTGCTTAAACTGCTTGGAAACCAGTGAGTGTAGACCAGTTAGATGTTTCAACCAAAAACCATGCAGTTAGTTCATCTTCACCTGTGGCTGACCAATTTTTGATCTTTGCCTTTTTCTCTCCACCATTTCTGCTGCTATGACAAGTTCTTTCATTTCAGCTTTTTTATTCTTACTCACCTCCTTTAGCCAAGTTGTATTGTTCTGTCTCTTCTACATGTTAATATTAGTTTGTGTACAGCTCAACATGCAGATAAACCCATCTATCTATATATGTAAAAAGCCAAGTACCGCTCACTCATCACAAAATCTCCAGAACCGTAAAGCTTACAAACTTGAAATTTGGCATGTATATTCCTCTTGACTTCTAGGTGTTTGCTAAGAAAGGATTTTTTGAAATGATAATCAGATCATTACTATTTCTTAATACAGTAATTAACACACTCTGATGCTAAGGAGTTCCCCTACCCACCTGAAAAGAACTCTGTTCCAACTGCCAGTTGCCTTTTATTAACACGCTCTGATGCTAAGGAGTTAGACATTCTACTCCCTCTCCCTACATGAAAAGAACTCTGTTCCAACTGCCAGGTACCTCACGTTCTGTTTCCTCAGTCCAAACTGGTAGACATTCCAGTCCTTCACTCAGGAGTGGTCTGGGGCTCTTCACCAAAATGTCTATACCTTCAACCTATGGTACTGCTTCCGAACTCAAGGCGGCAGTTTCAATCACTGACCACCATTGAGCCAACGGATTGTGAACTGAATTTCTCCTGAGTAGTGTCCCAGCCCCAACTCACTTCTTACACTGACCTCAGTTCAGATTAATCTGTTTCTTCCACTGTAACACCAGTTAAAGGGAAAAGAGGGGAAAAACTCAGGAAAAATTTTACAGATGTGATTAGGAAAACACGAGGGAAGCTGCAAAAAAGTATTGTCAAAGTCATCCCGAAATCAATGGAGGTTGTAAAAAAGTATGCATCTAATAACCCCTATGTTAATCAGGCAGCTACAATTAAATACAGTAAAAAGATAACACAAATCAGATCAATGCCTTGGACTAATAAGTATTTGTCTGGTTTTAAATATGAACCTCAGATTGATTACTCCAGGGAAAAAGTTGTTGATCTTGGACCTTGGTTACCCTGTGCCTGGTGCCGTGCCCTGAAGTGGCAGGATGAGACTCCTGGGATGTGCTGCAGTGGCAATAAAGTCCAGCTCCCTCTCCTTGAGCCCTACCCTGAACCCTTACACAGTCTTCTTATCTACCATCATCCAATGACTTCCTTCCGGTCCTAATTTTTGGCCAGCAACAGATTGATCAAGAATGTTTGCTTAAGCCCTTTAATCCCACCAGCACCCCTGGCTTTTTGGTCTATGTAGCCAGGTTAATAACTTGCATAGCATAGATTTTCAATTCCTCCCTCAGATGAATTGCTCAGGACATCCCTGTAAACAACATTCCTAGTTTTGCTCTCTGGCTGGATGATGACCAGGCTGTCAGGTGAAGTGACTCTGGAGCACGCCACATAGAACTGGCCATGGGAGAAACAATCACTCCTCAAATGCACACCAGCCACTTTCAAAGTCTGTCTCTGTGCCTTATTGATGGTAATGGTGAGCACACCTTAATGGGAAATTGTAGTCATTTGAACTCGAAGTGGTAGTCTGATGGGATCAGAGGAATTGGGGGATGAAAACAGTTTTTCCCTGATTGATGCCTGTGAAAATCATGACTTTGATTACGTGTTTGTACAGAGTCTTCAGCTGAAGCCTGGTGCCATTGCACAGTTTCAAGCTTTAAGTTTATAGTTTTGTAGCGAAGCATGAGTATCCAGCTAATCCTCAATAAAACAGACCATGTGTACAGATCTGAATGCTGTATTGAAAGAACAGGATATAGTGAAACTGGGGAAAATAGGAATACATACAATGAGAACCAAATACAAGATAGACAGTATTAAGTTACTGCTGAACATAACAATTAATAAATACAAGCAATTTAAATCTCAGCAGGGATGCTCTGTGTGGGATGTAGATTTATCCATGGATGACCATGTGCTTCTGCCTTCTCCAAATGCTAAAGGAAATGTAGTCTGCCTTTCCAGAGTGCACTTGTTCGAGAGTGCGGACTGATGGGTAAAGGGTTCAGCTTCAAAACAATATAGATTGGTGTTTGTCTCTCTGGCCACTACATGGGGCTGGAGAGCAAAAACAGTATATAAAGATCATACTGTATGTTGAGCCATGACATGTATTCTTATAGTATTTCTTTGGGTTATCCTATATCTGCACCCAGAACTGCACTGTGTCTTCCTTATCAAGTGTTGATTGAACTGCAGTCTCTCCATTGATGGATTGTAGGAATGTTTCTGATTGGATTGAAATCGGAGCGCATGGTTGTAGTGTGGAATTTGAACTTCATGTCTGGTGATCTTCTTGGCTGTAGCTATTATTTGCTGCTTTATTATTTCTAATGCTTCCTTAATCTTCCTTGTGTCTAGGTGATATTTCTTGATCCAGTATTTGTTAACGCTGTTGTTAATTGAAGAGTTGTAAAATATAATGTCACACAACTGCATTTCTTAGCCACAGCAATCCAGCCAGTCCTGGTTGTCCTTCATTGGGTTAAGCAGAAAGCAGAGGGAGTCCCAAAAATGGAGTACAGGTGTCTTTGAAGTTTAGATGTCATAATTCACTGAAATATATTAAAAACAAGTCGAGTAGAATCACATTAGTACTATCTCGTATTTGAAGATTGTATTTGAAAAGAAACCTGAGTTTCCTAAATTATATATCCAATAGCATTTTGTCCAATCAAAACTAGCCAAGTTGAAAGAGACAATAATTTAAGCTGATGAATAACTTCTCAGCAGAAATTAGCAGGCAGAATATTAGCAAGATTTTTCAACACATTTGCCTTTGGAACAATTTAGCCAAGCATATCAAGAAAAGCCATCTAAATTTTATTTCTAATGCCACGAAGAGTGCATTCTATCTAAACTCTCTTATTTTATGGCTAATGATATAGCCTAATTATGGGACATCCTTGGCTCTTCCATTTCCCTGGTATAGAATTCTGTAGAATTTGAAAATCTTAGAAATACTTATGGAAAAATTCAGAAAAAAAATTTTCTTCACTTTTTTTTTTTGCATGACTCATATGCAAATCTATGAACTAACTGCCTCTCAGTATGATTATTTCATGTTTTTTCAATACACATGGCATCCCATCTTCGTATATGTTATATTTGATAAAATATTTTTGAATAGGTACACCTGGGAATTCTTGGGAATAACTTTGGAATTTGTCTAGCAAAACCAGCTCTTGCGCTCTGTGAAACAAAGGTACGGTCTAACCTCAGTACCGCTCTGTTATGGTGGAAAATGCATAGATCTGCCCAGAGAGCACTGCCAGCTCGAAAACACTTCTGGCCGATGTGATAGCTACCAAGAAGGCTACCTGGATTGTGAGGAACCTCAGGTCAATGGATCTCAATGGCTCAAAGGGAGCCCCTGGAAGAGTCTGCAGGACTTTTGACAGATCCCATGTAGGATACCTGTAGACTACAGGCAGATGCAAGTTCGTCACTCCCTCAAGGAACCTAGGAACCAAGGGATGTTGGGAAAGAGATCCCAAAGTATCAGCAGATAAAACTGAGGACAAAGCACCACCTGCCTACAAAGAATGCTGAGTGAGAGCCCTCTGTCCAGTCTGTCCTGCAGGAATTTCAGAACAATGCTTATAGAAGCTGAAGTGGCTGAATGTTTAGTCTTAGTACACCATAGGCAAAAGGACCTCCAAGTAACGTCATATATGTGGTTAGTTGATAGTCTCCTAGAGGCCTGGATCGTAGCAATTACCTTGGAAGATAAACTGTCCTTGGCTAGAGATCCCCACTCAATCATCAGCCGGCCAGCTGGAGCCACTGGGGCTCCATATGGAGCAGGGCCCCCTGGCTGAAGGAAATCTTGTTGGAGGGAATCCTCCAAGGTTGAGTCACCGATAGATTCACCAGATCTGCAAACCAGGGATCTCTGGGCCGATGAGGGTCCAGGAGCAAAATCTCCGCCTTTTTCGACAACATCTTCCTGATTACAGGCAGAATGAGAGGAAGAAGCGGAAAGGAGACCCCATGGCCACTGGCTCCGAATGGCATTGATCCCTTCTGCCCCTGGAAAACCTGGTGAAGTACTTGGGCAGTTAGGGTTTGGACTGGAGAAGCTAGCAAGTCCATGTCTAGTGTTCCAAAAATCTCTGTCATTTCTCTGAATAAGTCTGGATGGAGATGCCATTCCGAGTGGTCTATTTTGGCTCTGCTGAGCCAATTGGCTTGTATGTTGTCGACTCCCTGAAATGTGCTCTGCCCTAAAGGACAGCAAGTGCCTCTCTGCCCAAAGACCTAACTTCTCTGCTTCCTGCATGAGATTCTTGGATCCGGTTTCCCTTTGACATTTGATGTGAGCCTTTGCAGCCACATTGTCCATCAGTATCAGCTGGCGGCGACAGCTGATACCGTTTGACAGCTCCTTTTATAGCCGGCTGTCAAACGGCATCAGCCAATGGGTGCGATCGGCGCTCCCGCGCAGGCAGCAAACCAGAGAGTGAACTTGTCAGTCTGCGGACACAGCAAATATGGAAGGAATCTTGTAAACCACCAGAATGGGGTGACTGTTGGCCCCGCCCCTCTCTCTGTTCCAGGCCCTTGGGAAGCTGCCTTTCCAGGGCCTCATGCCTTATCTTCTCTACTTTCTTCTCAGCCTTGGTTTTTTTCTTAGCAACGGCCTTGGCTTTAATCTTGGCTGCCTCCTCCTGAGCTGATGACTGGGTTTTTGCCCATCTCCTGTTCGTAGATAAGGCCTGCAAAATGCTAGGGGACAGGGCCTCTTCGTAACCTGATTCTGCCGACAGGACTCTTGTGCCCTCCATTTTGAATTCCACTAGCTCAAGGTTTTAATTGGCTGTCTTCTTCTCTTCGTCTCCTCCAAATATGGCCAGGTGAGCGGAACAATCCCGCTGTGAGACCTTTGTATTTAGTCCTTTTGACAGAAGGGTGGGAGACCAGAAAACATTTCTTGTGCCGCTTTTGCCACCAAATTTGGCCAGCTGATTGGTGCTAAGCCACTGTGAGGCTTCCCTGTGGCACAGGGCTCCTTGCACCATTTGCCTGGGAATTAACCTGCCTGTGAGCATCCCAAACACTGTCAGCCTGGGCTTGCCAGATCATTTACAGTTCAATGGCCTCAACACCAGGAGCCAAAGATCCAGTCCTGAAATCACTTCTGGGGGGGAAGGGACGAGCCTTTCCCAGCCCCATTTGTTGTGGCATTTGCTCTACCGGATCCCTGGGAACAAACTTGAAGTACAGCGCTGATGAAACTATAAAAATCTTGAGTCTCAAGTTCATTTTAATGCTCTGCAAGAGCCAAGACACATCCAGCTCTGGTGAGGGACTGAGTCAGAAGCTGGGTAACCATGGCAACAGAGGTGGGTCTAAATAGCTTGGCAGACTCAGTCCCAAGACAAAGGAGGTGGAGTTTTGGAGAATAGCAGATTTACATAGGCTACACAATTTACCTGATAATCATATTTTTTTAAAAAATAGTATGAAGACCCTCAGTAACCACTGTTAATTACTCTTAAGTAACAATCATGACATCACCTGAATTTTGCCTTTAGCCATCTGTGGGGACAGCTGAAGTTGCCTTTAGTTCCGCTGTGCTTTCCTGCTCACATGCACACACAGACCACAGATGTTAAAAGTCTTTATTAAGGCTTCCAAGCCTGAATTAGTATTCCCCAGCAATTCCCTGTGCCTGCACCAGGTGAACCCCAATGAGTTCCATAGGCTACTCAAATGAAACCAACACTGGTGCTCAAGGCAAAGGTAAGTCCAGTCCCCAAGGCAAAGGCAAGTCCACTAGGCAAAGGCAAGGCAAGGTAAAGCAAAGGCAAATCCACAGGATAAAGGCAAATTCACAAAAGCAAGGCAAGGCCACAGTTGAAGAGACATGATCCAAAGTTCAAGGCAAGAACACACAGCAAGAAAACAGACAGGTTGCTCCCAGCATCATTTCATTTCATTTGCTGAGCTAAATAACTGCTTCCTAATGCAACTCATTTATGGGTGAGGCTACTTCCTCAGGAGTAGCCTGGCTGACTTTCATTGTGCCTGCTTCTTCTCAGCCCTATGTGCTCTTGGATGTAGAGGAGGAGGTGTTGTTTTTGTTCTCCACTGACCAGCTGCAGCTATGTGTCCTTTTCATTCAAAGCCTCTGGGCTTCCTGGGTGCAGCTGAGCCTCTCCTATCTCTAAATCAGCCAATTTCTCATCAGATTGCTCCCCTGTGCTCAGTCCCTCCAATCCTGGCTTGTAGCCCTCAGCTGCCATCACATTCTCCTCTGAATCAACATCTGGAACAGCATCTGGGGAAGCGTCTGGGAGAGTAATCACATCTGATGTAAAAGTGATGTTATAATGGCCCTCTTCTTCCAATGTAAACCTTGCTGTATGAAGAATTGATAGTGTTTCCAAGATAGTGTTGATGACAGCTTGGTCAGAGACTCAGATCCTCCCATCTCGTTTAATTTAAGATGATTCTCAGCCTCCTGACTACTAATTGTATGGATTTTAGGCAGTGGTTTCTAAACTGTCAAGAATTTATATGAAGTCAGCGGTACAAAATACTAAATCTGTCAGTCTGTACCAGCTTCTACCTGTCTTTCCTCTGATATGGTTCCAAGCATAGAAGACACTGGTACATGTGCTGTTCTGGTTCCACTGTTATGTGTAGTGATGTTAAAATGAATGACTTTTTTTACAAACAACATAGGATTCAATCTCCACTTGTTCACTTAGAGCCTAACAGCCCCCAAATACTAGGTCAGGAGTTTCACCATATTCCTGGCACATCTTAGGGATGTACAATTGATTATTATCAGTGTATAGTACATCCCAAAGTAATGGATGACTTCTCTCTTATTTCCATCAACTAGATTACCAACTCTGGAAGTAGCAGAATCACTACTTGCTCCCAACTTACAAGGGTTCAAAAACCCTTGTAAGTAGTCCAGGATACTTTGTTTAATAATACTGAAGGCCCCAAGAAACGTAAAAGAACAAAGAAGGGCACACTTCTCCAAGTGAGTCCTGAGACTGTCATCCGCCAGGGGGAATCAATGAAGTTTCTGTCTAATTATTGAGCCTTACCACATTTTCAACAATTTCCCTTAAAAATTGCCAAAAAAGCAGATATAGAAGGTATCCAGCTTACACATGGTAGAACTAATACAATATGGTTATAAGCACATAACATCGTAAGATATTATTTCATTCACTTCCTCTTGACTCCATGCAGGTAGTAGATGTGCTATGCTGCATGACCATAGTGGTAAGATCAACGCCATAGTTTGATATGCTAATATTTGTTTCTGCCATTTTCATTACCAATTCAAAGGCCCTTTTCCAGTCCATAGTCAATTCTTATGGATTGAGATTCTGCCTTTCTGAAAGTGGCTTTTTCTTCTTGGGTGTTTTGTTTGTGCAGAGTGGGCTGTATCCTGCATTGCAGCAGTCAGTGATGCATACAAATGGGTTGTTTGTCATGGGAGCAGGTATATGGTGGAGGGGAGAACAATCATGCATTGCAGCAGATTGCCTCCACCTGTCATAGCTAAAAACAATAGGAAGTTATGTGTGTGTATGGAGGTTGTCTCCTGTTTCACTACTTTGTGCCATTCACCTGGTGAATTGAAAAAGGGATCAAGGACACGCTGAATCGTCTCCAGAGCTAAAAAGGAACATATGGAATAGTGTAGTGACAATAATCACTAACTATTGTCTGCTAAATGCTTCATCCCTATGGTCCATAGCCATAACTAATGGCCAGTACAGTTTAGGATATCATGAGAATATAACATATACTATTTATGATATTTAACTTCCCAACTCTCTCACAGAGAGTCTATAGGAGCTATACAAATGAAATACTAAAAACATATGCATAACGTAATATAAAATTCAAAGGAGGGAAGCAATGTTAAAAATTATTTAGGAAGAACGATTTGAGAGCTCTAACCAATCCCCACAACTTTATGCTTTTCAGTGCACCCCAAGTGAAGCCCACAGAGCCATGTTTCCCAGCCTTTCTGGAAGGTGGATGTGTTTAAATTGACGATATTAACACAATTCATCAACAAAGGGTCTGAAAGAATACATACAAATATTTTTAAAATATTCAGATTCAAAATTTATTCTGAAAAATTAAAACAATTTTTGCTTGTACCGAGAATCTTTTGTTTGCTAGTTTGTTTCATCATCGTTATTGTTATGTCTTTGGGACTGGTTGGAGTCCCCAACCAGGTCCGCTGTTTGAGCGGGAGCACCAGCCGCTCCCATTGGCTGGCACCGTTTGACAGCCGTCTATAAAAGGCGGCTGTCGGGCAGTGTCAGCCCCGTTGCCACCAGCTAACCTGCCAAGTTAGAAGGCAGACGTGGCAACCCTTTATTCTTGCAATAAAGCCTTTAACGTTTCACTCTGGCTCAGCCTCGTTTCCTCCGCCGCTCTACAACACTGGCGACGAGGGCGGGACGCGATCGGAGGCTGCCAGAAGTGCGATTCTGAAGAGCTGAAGCCACAAAGAGCGAAGCCACGGGCGCTGAAGCCGCAGCCGCCGGCGCTCACAA